CCCCAAAACCCCAAAACCCCAAAACCCCAAAACCCCAAAACCCCAAAACCCCATACATATCAAGATAGTTGGCTTGTTGTTTAATTTTTAATAATTTGCATTTCTCAAAATCCTCTACTAAACTGGTCAATTTTATTGCACCTTTCAAGTTGATTGACTGAACTCAAAGAACAAATTAGCCATTAGATCAGATGCCCATATACCTAAGCATAAGTTTGACATTATATATCTAAAAATGTTTATCTATAGATTAAAACATTGCTGAAATATTAGAAATCGGAGTAAGAGTGATTGTCACTTTCCCATGGACCGAGGTCATCAAACTCCGTCATTTCCTTCTTCTCTTTGTTCTTATTACTTTTTGGCTGCTTTTTAATTATCGATGATATTCCTTTATAATTCACATGAGGATTCATCGATATTTTCATTGGCACAGAATGTCTTTTGTCCCTCAAGCTTCTGTTTCTTATGTCGGACCCTAAGGACCGTATCTTCTCCAGCCCTGGTACTCTGCGATGGTTTATAATAGGATGGTTTTTGATCCTCGAAGATATTTCATAATTCCTAAAGGATTATTGAGAAATACTCATAAATAATATCACCAAAATTGCTTGTGACTTTTAATGAGGAATTAACATCTCTTCTGTATTTTCTAGAGTCCTCAGTCTTATACGTGCCTAATGGTCATGGAAATATACTTTTATTCAACTGTTTAGATACTCCTTTTATAGTTGCTAGTTCAATATTAGGGTCCTGAGCTTTGATGATAGAGGATCTCGCAACATTAGGAAGAATGTTCACCACTGAGCTTGCTCTAGTGGACTCTCTAACAACAGGAGTATTGTATTTCTTCACCTAATTTATGAATATTTCAATTAAAACTTACCCTGATTGGAGGAATTTCTGAATTATTAAACTTAACCTCATCAAAGACCCTTTGAATTCCTTTGGGTAATGTATGCTTCCTGTCTTCAGATTTTCTACATTTTCTTGAAATCTCGCTTTTTCTGATTGTCTTTAATATTAGTGAGTTTATTTATGCAAAAATATTGATAATCAAATAAACAATGTAATCAAATTTATGAGGATAAATTTAAGCAAAGACCAACTCATGAAGGGCTGATTGGTGATGAATTCTCTAGATCTTGTAGATATTCTAAAGGTTCTCAACATTCTCGTGAGTGATGCATATTTTGTAAAAAAACATAGCTGTATTGACAAATAAAAATAACTTTTGCACATTCCAAGGACTTACTTTTTTAAACTTTCGTTTATTCACACTTGTTTTCCTTTTATTTCTTAGTTTTCTTATGGGATGGACTAAAGATATTGCTGATATCATTTCTATTTTGGCTATCATTTTAAACTGTACCATGTATATATAGGTGCTCAACTTTCAAATAAATCTTTCTTGTCTAGCCCAATAGTTTTTATGTTAATTCACATGTTCTTCTTGTTCATATAATTTGCTTTTATTCTAGCTAGATCTTAGATAATAACCAACCTTGAATATTATTTCTTTCAAAGAAGGACTGAATGTTTTCAATTGAATACGACTCCATTGTCAAATTTGGCTTAAATATTTATATCAAATATCAACATTTTGATATAATTATGGGGTTTTGGGGTTTTGGGGTTTTGGGGTTTTGGGGTTTTGGGG